ACCGTCTTGGTGAAAAGAGCCCACTAGAACTTTAAAATAACACACATGGGCCACGTGGGCTAATTTTGTTCCACCTGCCGCCCATTTATCGAGAGCCAGATGGGTAGTACCGGCTCACGGGGGTTCAGCAGGAGCTCCACAGAGACCGATGGCTGGCTGGTGAGGTACAGGGAGGCGTTTCTGGAATAAGCCGCACCAACTGTGAGTTCTTGTTCATTATTAAGCTTTGGTGATGGTGTCATTTCTGGCTGTCACTGTACAGCATCAATAAATGAGTCTTCCCGTTGGAGTTCTTTAGAACTAACCTGAGTATACAGTCTTCTATTCTGGTACACTTTGGAGAAATTTCACTTTGTTTTTCATCATCCAGCTGAATTTAGCCAGCTCCATCTCACTGGTTAAGTCTACAGCCAGGATATTGTTCTTGACCTCAGCTTGTCTCCACTTTAAATGATACTTTAAAAATTTAAATAATATAGTAAGTGATAACATAGAATCAAACAGAAGTCACCTGGGGAACACAGAGATTTCCTGGCGGCAAAGGATTGAAATTTAGAAGGTAACTGTCAACTGATTAAGAAAAAGATAAAAAGGACTGTTTCCATAGGAGGAAGCTTATGCAGAGGCATGGAGGGATGAGAGAACATGGTGTTCATCATGCAGGGGCACTCCTGGGGGAGGTGGCCCAGGAGCTACGGAGCAGCTACATCCCAGGGGACTTAGCGTTGACAGGAGTTTTTTGGTTTTTGTTTTTTACAGATTTTATTTATTTATTCATGAGAGACACAGAGAGAGAGGGAGAGACATAGAGGGAGAAGCAGGCTCCATTCAGGGAGCCCGATGTGGGAATTGATCCCGGGATTCCAGGATCACGCCCTGGGCTGAAGGAAGAGGCTCAACTGCTGAGCCACCCAGGCATCCCCTGAGAGGAACTTCAACATGAAGGTGATAGTTACCTGAGGGCCTTGGATGGGGGTGATAAGACAGATATGCCTTTTATGTAGGTCCTTCCAAGAAAAGCAATAGTGGAGGCCAGGCTTTTAGTTGAGTAGTAATGATCCTAGCTGAGAGATGATAAGGCAATGTCGAGGACAAAGAATGAGAATATTGGGGGGGAGGGGGGATGTACTCCCATTCGATTTGTGTACTTAGACAATTCACTGTCATCTGTATTAAATAGTTCTCATTTTGAAGTGAATTTACACTCACATGTATTACCTAAAACAGGGGATGCTGGCACAAAAGATAAGATTATCTTCTGTTCAACATAATAGTCTTAAAAAAATGACTTTCCAAAAGTTTGTATCCTGGAACTTGATTTGCAGGGTGTGGAAGCAGGAATAGCTGCGGTCATTGTCACAAAGATCCTTGGGCTAACACCAAGTCCTTTTCTAATTAGGTTTTGCACCTTGCCTCGTGCCACCAAGGATTGTTTTCAGTTTTCCGTTCTCGCTTCTAGACACCTACTTTTTCTTTAACAAATTAGCACCTAAGGTTTATTAATTCCACCAACAGATGGTCCCGACACATACAAGTCTCACTATGAAAACGTTTGGATTTTTAATCAGGATGTTCTTTGCCCGTGTGGAAGTCTTGCCCAGCCTGCATAAATAGCTTGAGGCCTTCAGGCATTTCAATAAGGCTCAGATGGTTGTGCTGTTGGCACACTGAACTTCTCCTTCCAGTCTCCCCAGCACTTTCCCTACGCTGCACTTGGAGAATTGCAACTGCCAAAGAAAGACGTTGGACTAAAATCCTTATTGGAAAGGATGTCTTAGAGAAGCACTGTTTGTTCTGAGCATGCGACTGATGGCTTTTTAGGAGACAGCTGGCCCTGTATCCTGTCCTGGTGGGAGACAGGAAGAGGTGGGTGCCAATGTCTCATCAACTTGTTGCCGAGGGTATTTACTGTTAGGAGAATGTTCACACTCTTGATTTGTCATGACAAGGCTAGTAAAAACTGTACAGACCGCTCAAAACATGCCACGTCCAAAGCCTAACTCCTTTCATCCAGCATTTGTACGTCACAACTTAGCCATATCATCAGCAAAAAGAGACCTAGGGCACACGAGCCAGATGGTCGGGCACACATGTGTGTCCTGGTTATTTCCAATCATATTCTCATTAGACACCCGTCTTCCTTTCCATGATATTATTATAGGCCTTGGTGATCGCTGCCAAATATCACTCAGTTCCAACAGCATGCTGGGAACAGTGCCAGTGTCGAGAGAGGCTTGAGAGCGTCCGTTGGTCCTAGACACTGCAGATAAAAAGATGAATTTCACATGAGGGTCATCCTCCCGGGGCATACAGTTTGGGGAGACATCCAAACTGTGAACGGTGTATCCTATAATACAGTAGCTCTGAGAGAGGGGCGGAAGGTCCAGAATGAAAACCCACGGGCAGGATCAACCAGATTCCGTTTTTGAAGGCTTCACGGAGAAAGTGTTGTGGGATATGGTTTTCAAAAAATGGGCAAAAGTTCGCAAGCTGAGCAGTGAGCAAAAGGAAGATCCTAATGCACTGAGGAGACCACATGGTCTACGCAGTGTTGCTCCTGAACCACATGAACCACTTGTACCAAGATCCAGATGGTGGTACTGGTTCAGTACGTAGGTGATGGCTGGTCGCTGAGGTTGAGGGAGACATCGCTGATGTTGAGCACCACACCCAACAATGAAGAACCAGCCAAACTGGCAGCAGCTTCCTCTTTCTCCTCCAGCCTCCTCACAGAGACAGTGACCAGGACCCTAGGTTTCCAGGTTCTGGTGAAAGAGATCAGACAGGGAGCAGTAAGCCCAAAAGAGGGGCAATATGGGGCAGAATTTTTCCATCACTTATCCCTTCAACGGCTGGTTTTCAAATTTTGGTCACCAGAAACACCCAGGGCTACTGTTGGTGAAGTGTGGCTGGGAAACAAGCATCAGCATCACCTGGAAACTTACTAGAAATGCAGCATCTCAGACCCCACCCCAGATCTACTCAATCTGAAACTGAAGTTGGGGCCCAACAATCTGTTTTAATGATGCCTCCAGGTGATTCTAATGCACTGGCAAGTTTCAGAATGTCTAAGAATGTTCGTTAAAAATACAGGTTTTTGAGCACATTCACAGAGATTCTGGATCAGTCAGATACACATTTGGCCAGTGAATGCAGCACCTCCATGGGCCATGCTCTCCTGGTCCCACCTCTAAGCAGGCTTCGGCTTTTTTCCAGCAGTCCTCTTTACGTCACTGGGATTGCGTGGGCTTTGAACCTTCAGTATGCAGTTTTCTTGGTGATTGCATCTGTAAAATGGGGCAGTACTAGAAATGATGTGGGTCTCTCAGGATTAGAGGTGGATGTGTGTGGAGTATATGGTATCGAACCTAACCTTTGGCATCTTTGCTCAGGCTGCTATGACAAAGAACCATACTCTGGGTGACTTAGAAACAACAGGACTATATTTCTCATTTCTGGAGGCTGGTATTCCTAGTTCAAGGAGCCCACATGGCAGGTTCTTGGGAGAGCCCTCTTCCTGGTTGCAGAATGCCAACTTCTCATATCCTTACATGGGGGAAAGAATACTCTGTGGGGGCCCTTTAAAAGAGCACTAATTCCATTCATGAGGGCTCCACCTTCATGACCTAATCACCTCTCAAAGCCCCCTCCCACCACCTAAGACCATCACATTGGGGTGTAGAGCTTCAACATGAATTGGAAGGGGACGGGCACAAACATTCAGCCCATAATACTTGGAAACAGGCAATAACTGGTAGGTGTTGTACTGCTGTCTCTATAGTTCTGGGTCCAACTCCCTGCTAGTCTCAATGGATGGTTACCAAAAGAACACCCTCTGGAAGTATTTGGTAGTCAGTATGTCCCATTATTGAATCCCGTTAACTAAAACAACTCTGAAAAGCATCTGGTTTGTGCTATCATACAGGGGGGTCTGAACACTATGACCTCTCCCTGTCCTAAGCATCCTACTCCAGGGCAGGTACCAGCAGCACTGCCGGGGTCCTTTCAAGTACTAATTGTTCCTCCTACCTCTGCTCTGCCCTGGACATATCTGTATGTACTTGGTTCTACCAGTAGCCCATTCCCCATCACAGAAGCCTCCAATCTCAATGCAGACTCATATGGGAGGATGTTTAGATTGGGATGTTTGTATGATGCCTTCCAAACCTAAAAGGCCAGGACTGACCCAGAGCTACTTGAACAGCACCTGAGAAGTTGCTCGAAAATATTTGTAAGCAAACATCTCTCCAGAAAGTTCATTCTTGATTGAGCAATCCCCTTTCCAACCCAATTCTACCTAATGCCTTTTTCAGTATATTCCCAAATATCAAGGCTGCCTTCAAGAATATAATCTCAAACAAAATCCTATTCTCTGCTTTGGCCTGGAGTGACATATCAGCTCTGAATATTTTTAATGAGTTTGCCTCAAATCGTGCTTCCTAAATCATACCTATAGAGCTGAAGATAAGCCTTCTCTCTCTCTTCCACCTTCTGCCTTCCATACGCTTCTTGAAAAAGTATTCTAGAACTCAAAAAAAAAAAAAAAAAAAAAGAAAGAAAAAGAAAAAAAAGTTCCCACTTGCTCTAGGAAAGACAGCCTTGAATCTAAGTTCATAATTAACTCCAGGCTGGTACAAAATGCTTTCTTCCTGATATTTCAGTTAAGTATTACCATTGGCAGCTTCAGCTGTAAAACCAGCTCTGCCAGTTGACATCAGCCTTAAAAACTGTCTCTTGCACAAAAGTTTGAGGTACGTAATGTAAATCACCACGGCTGGCAGGTGAGAAGTTGGTGCCCTGCAGCGTGGGGAGAAAAGACCTAGCAGAATGGTCAGATTGATCAATCACCCTGAGTGAGTGCGGAGTCTTTGATGAGGCATCCATGCTTTTAAGAGATTTGTCTGGGAGTATTGCCTTGCAGCTAAACCGAGTGTTCAGTAAATTCAGAACTCTTCTTGGCCAAGAAACAACAGTTCCCGTTCTTCTTATCACTGAGGCATGTGAGTGTGAGTTCATTTTTGAGAATGTTACAGTGCCAATCAAAACACAGAATCTTCCAGGGTCTCAAATCCAGGCTCTTCCACATAACTTATGACTTCAATTTCTGTTTCACTGGAAACAGTTTTCTGTAAAACAAAACATCCTCCCTTAGATGTCTTTTAGCACACTTTTTGTGCTTTGGATTTCTTTACAATTTTTTAGGGCATTTTCCTTATAAAAATAGTAAATGTTCACTAAGAAAATATGGGAAATAAGATGATGGATAGATTTTTGTTTTCTTCCTATCTCCCAAACACAACCCGTTGTTTCTCTCTAGCCTTGTTTCCTAGGTACAAAGTTATCTTTTCAGTTAAATGAAGGCAAATGGAAAGTCAGCTTCATAAGTTGCTTTCTGTGTAACATCGTGTAATACTCTGTATATTCTTGGGCTGCGTCATGAATAGCTCCACCATTTTCCATTCAGAGCTTATGATAGTTTCTCCTCAAATCTAGATGTGTTTGTCTAATTTGGGCTATTATAAAGCTATTAATTAGAAACTTTGTGACAAAAACTGCCTACAAGAGATATTTCTGTACCTTGTTGACTCATTCAACACTTTTTAAAAGATGTTATTTATTTGAGGGCACACACAAGCATGCATGAGCTGGGGGAGGGGCAGAGGGAGAGGGAGAAGCGGGCTCCCCGCTCGGGGCTCGATCCCAGGACCCTGAGATCATGTCCAGAGCTGAAGGTGGATATTTAATCCACTGAGCCACCCAGGTGCCCCTCATTCAACACATTTTTAATACCTATAATACCCACTATTGCCTGGACACTGCTGTGCATGGAGCATGTGGTGACAGCAGACATGCCCTCTGCCTTACGTACTAGGACTTAAATGGTTTATACTTAATTTTGGAAGGAATCCTCTCTGGCTACATTGTAGAAATAAGGAGCAGCTGGAAAGTGGTCTCTAACAAATTTAAAACACAGGATACTTTTTCTTTTTAAACAAAAAGCCTTCTTTTTTTAATTGATAAAGGCCTAATTGATAATCCCTGTCCACCTTCCCTCCCATCTCTCCCTGCCAGTACTGTTTCTTGAATGTTACAGAACAATTTCTAACTTGGGTCTGCACAAGCAAACACTCGCTTAATGAGAACTCGGGGATGGTAGATAGACTCCAAATCCCAGGACTTGGGTGCCCACACCAAGCTCAGAGCTGCAGGTTGTAAAAAAGTCAAAAGTTTCTTTTCCTGATCACCCCACTTTCTAGTGTGGTGCCAACCCGTCATTGCCAGTAATATAATGGGTCTCCCCGGCATCCTTCTAGCAGAGACCTCAAGGGTGCGTTGGAAGGGCTTCCCCTTTGGAGGTATGGGCCGGGGGCACTGCTACGTGTGTCCCAGACTGTGCTCAGCTCTGCACTTGCACATTCTCCCAGGTGGAGAATTTAGGCCACGAGGCAGACAGTATCGGGCAATACTTCATTTTCTGAGTTCTGCTTGCTACCTCTGTCGCTCTCTGTGTCTGTTGTCTTTTTTTTGCATGAAACTCAACAATGTGAAAAGCAAGTAAGTTGTCTAAGAGGAGCCTGGCAGCGCTGAGCTCTGACATTAATCCTTTGCTTATTTTGAAACCAGCTTGTCTACCCCACGTTGTTATTTTGCACACATGACTTGATTTTAATTAACAAACCACAAGTTTATACAATAAGCTCTTAAGCCAGTTTCTTTCACCAACCTCAGAATATTAAAGAAAATCTTTGGGGGCTCTATAGGGAAATGAGAACAGCATTAAGATGTTCCATTAAGAGGCAAGACAAATGACTTCAGGGTGCTGCTTAAATCAAATGTAGTTTATCAGGGGTGAGTATTCTGGAGCAAGGAGGGAGAGACAGCACAAATTCACATGAAACAAAACAAGGTTTCACACTGAGGGCCGCTCTTCTTCCAGAAAAGCTGTGGGTTAAAAGCAAAGCCCCCTGTTCCCTGATGAAGGAGAATACAGGATAGAGGCAAGGACGGAGTAGTTCCTCTGTCTGACTCAATTCTTTGCTTGACAAGTGTCCTAACTACTATGGTCTATAATTATTCCGAACACCCAAACTGAAAACTCTAAATGTCACAGCTTATTGAAATGATCCATTTCAGTGAGTGTTTGACCCTTAACTGCCCCACAAATAATCACCAGTTTATTCATCCATTCCTGAATCACTTTATTAGCAAACTAAATTGCTAAGAAAACAGCTTGATCTACATCAGGGATCTGCAAACTACAGCCTGTAGGTGGTATCTGACTTATTGCCTGTTTTTGTAAATAAAGTTTTATTTTGGAACCAAGCTTGTTCATTTGTATACTGTATATGGCTACCTTCACACAACAATGGCAGCATTGAATAGTTGAGATAAACCATTTGGCAGTTAGGTATTTACTGTTTGGTTCTTCATAGAGAAAGTTTGCTGACCTCTAAATAAACAATTTAAGGACAGATTTGACTAAGTATAGAATAACTGTACACTGAGAATCATAAAATCTTGCTGAGAAAATTAAAACCTAAATATTATATTTTTTGCTTGTTTAGTATAATAATATGTCAGGTTAACAGATTGGAAGATTCATTTTTAAGATGTCACTCCCCAAATTAACCTATAATACAACACAATCCTAACCAAGATCCCAGCAGTTTTTTTGGTAGAAATAAAGTTGCTCTAAAATTTGTATGGGAATACAGAATACAACACCGAGAATAACCAAAACAACTTTGGGGGGGGGGGGAATCACACTTGGGGGCACCTGGATGGCACAGTGAGTTAAGCTTCTGATTCTTGGTTTTAGCTCAGGCTGTGATCTCAAGGTCCTAGGACTGAGCTCTGTATAGGGCTCTGCAATCAGAGTGGAGTGAGCTTGAGATTCTCCCTCTCCCTCTCCACCTCCTCCTCATGCTCTTTCTCTCTAAAATAAATACTTTTTTTTTTAAATCATGTTTGGAAGCTTTACACTACTTGATCTCCAGGTTTGCAATAAAGCTATAGTAATCAAGGCTACATTAGCATAAAGATAGACAAACAGATCAATGAAAGCAAATAATAGTCCAGAAGTAGACCCACACATATATAGATAACTGATTTTCAACAAAGATGCCAAGACAATTCACTGGGGAAAGGATGATTTTTTTTTTCCACAAAATGATGCCAGACCAATGGGGCAGCCATATATAGGTAAGTGAGCATTGAGTTAAGCCTATGTGCAGAAACATGGGTTCTTAAAAAACATCAGAGCTAAACAGAACATTGGTCCATCTCATCTATGCCCCTTTGCCAGAAAAAGAAGTCAGGGCTCATGGGCTGTTTTCCTTTACCCATCAGTTATATGGGTAGATGGCTGATGGAGAAAATTCCAGTCTGACTGGCAAAGACCCTTATAACTGAGCAGGACCTTTCCAATATTCCAAGGCAGTAATGAACATGTATAACATAACACGAGCCAAAGAGCAGAATGACTAAGCGGCATAAAGTCACTGGCCCCTCTGGAGAGACACTCCGCCTAGGAATATGGAAAACCAGTAACTTGACTGATCCCCGAAGACCCAACCCTCAGCAGATAGGACCCATCATAAGAACCTTCAATATTACCTCCGAGTTGACGATTACAAAGAAATCTTTAATACTGCTTTTTGGTGCCGGAACCGGTGGAAACAACCTGTTCCATAAGTGACCTCTGAAAATAGAGTAAAGCAGAGAATCAGGTGAGCAAGAACATCCTTCGTTGTCTGTCAGCATCTACTCTACAAGTTGACCTAGTTGATCTCAGGACCTGCTGTTCTATAAATTCAGAACCTTTATTGACCAAGAGTTATAAATATCTATATTGTAATACTAGTTGGGGTATGATGTGGCTTCTGAATCACCCAAGAAAGACACAATGGTAATTGTTTCACATTGCTCCGTGTTTTCAGGCCTCATCTGTGAAAATGGGTGATCTGGAAGTGCTTGGTATCCCACCACTAACTACAAAACCGGCTACGGTCCCTTACCCAACTATGCTGGCTCACAGAGTTGATGGTCTTGTTCCTTTCCTTTGAACTGCCACCCTCCACAGAACCTAATGTTTATAATAATGAACCTCTTTAAAACCCAAGTAATTGTCTAAATTATGAAAGGATGGAGACAGAACATGTTTGTAAGCCTCTTAATTGGCAGTTTGCCTCACTGAATGCCAATGTGAGCAAGGAGTTCTTATGGGGCCCTTTGTAGGCTCGAGGATTAGTCACCAGGTCTGCATGACCTTTCCACAATCTGCATTTGACCAAAGGATAATCAGCCAGTCAGGGACCAGGTGACCAAAGGGTGAGGGTAAGAGCTGGCCCCTCATGATTAGAGACCCTACCGTGGGAGGCCCTGGGGTGATTTCAGTCGCTGGGGCACTGCCTTCCTTTACCCAAGCTGAAAAAGCAGCCTGCTAGTGGCTCACCTAAGACAACCAAAGACTGGGTGGGAAGGCAGTAGAGGAATCAAAAGAACATGAAGGTAAATACGGAAAATAAATACACTGTCAACAAATTCAAGACGGGTGGTAATGGCTGAGGGGCTATATTGTGCTCTGTCTGGTTTCCAGTAATTGCCTAAGGATATTTCTCACTTTTTAATTTGGTCCATGCTCATCTTGGAAAGGCTGTCCAGAAGACACCAAAGCACTGTAAATTCTATCTGATAAGAAGAACCCTAGTGGATAGACAGCAAAAGTGTAAAAACACTCAGATGTCCTTGGAAACCCCCAAATTAAAAAAAAAATACCTACATTTTACAGATGAGGGAGAAAATTAACAAAATGAAGCAGATGGTTGCCATAAGCACGATAAGAAACCATTCGGTGAAGGGCTTCTGATCATCATTTCCTAATGGAAAAAGAAATCAGAGCTGGAATAAGCTGCAGATATGCAAATTAACTAGACGCAGGCATCAGCTTGGATTTGAGGTGCAGATGCTGAGTGAGGCTGGGCAAGGAGCTCAGTCTTCCTGAGCCTGAGATTTCTCATGAGGATGAAATGAAGCTACTGTTCATGTTAAATCATTATTTAGTCAGTAGATATTTATGGATTGCACTTGATGTAATAATGCCTCCTGAATCTTGACAATTACCAGCTTTGGGTGACTAGTAAGGTTTTTAGATGGAAAAGCTATAAAAGGGTAAACCATCTTTGTTACCTAATTGCATTAGAATCAAAATAATGTACAAAGTTGGACACTTTTAGAGGAAGCAAATTATGGAATAATACTCAGAGTTAACCCTAAAGGCATCAGACTCTGCTAGAAGTACTTTGCAATCTTAACTATGTTCAATACCCCTTAGCATTATTCCCATTTCACAGATAGGAAAGTAGAAACAAATTGCATTGAGTCAGCACAGAAAATGATAATATGTTGCATACCGTCTTACTCTCTGGTTAAATCTGCTTCCCATCTGCATCCAAGGGCAAATTCCTCTATTAGTTTTGATGGTATCTTTGGGATGTGTGATTTTTTTTTTTTTAAGGTACTGGAAATGCTTTCAGGAAAAGCCAGAGTTCCTTAACCACATGGTTTTTAAAGAGGTAATGCACTTGTTAAGCTGCCTAATTAACTTCCAGAGAATAAGGCAAATCCTGCCTTCTCTCCCTGGATACAAGTGTGCTTTCTGTGGGAGAGGCCATTCACTAATTCTTCATTCACCAGTTTAACGAATATTTCTCAGACTCCCATCATATGTTTGGCACTGCACAGGTTTCTGGGAGCTGGGTTCAAAGCACACATGTGGGTTTGCCCCGTGTGCCATTTAGATCCATCAAACAAGGAAGGCTCTAAGCAAATAATGACACGGGTAATGACTTGATGCCAGCTGCGCTGGGTGGGGCGGGGATGTTCACACTGCACCAGAGGAAACCAGTCCCAAACCTTAGTTAATTGTTTCTTTTATAAAGTGAAAAGTGTGTAAGTGGAACTTTCAGGTCCTCGTAAATATCCTAAGATTTCCGAAAGTTCCAACATACTACTACTACTTTTATTTTTTCCCCCCCAACATACTTCAAACTCAAAACATTCAATGTATGGAGAGGGAGAGAGGTCTTGAGGATTTAATGCTAGTGAGTCCAACTTTGCCTTGATCTCCTGCTCTTTTGTCTCCTGAGAACTCTTACTCGGGTTTATCTCCTACTTCCCCAAAGCTTTAATCTCTCCACCTTCATCTCTTCCCTCTGCTTTCGGATATTCATAGAGTCCTTTACCTTGAATAAGCCATTACTTTGCTCCGTCATCTCTCCCAACTATCGTCAAATACCTTCCTACTTTATTTCCCAGCCTAATTTTTTGAATAGGGGATTCAGGCTGCTTCATTTCCCACCTCAGAAACTGCTTTTTTACTTGTTGGCAGCTGCTTCCTAGTTGAATCCAAAGGACACATGATTTCTTTTTCCAGCATTATTTTGCCCGGCCTCCTTCCTGAATTTCACACCTGACGGTTGTGCCCACCTTGAAACCAAGTTGTTGGCTCTTTTGCCCAACATTCCCCTTCTTCAGAGTTGTTTCCTTCTTCCCTTTTCAATTTTAACTGACCCTCTCAGCTCAGCTCTGGACCCTTGGGTCTCTTCCACCACCGTCTCTTGTTTGAACACTGGAAAGCTTGTTGAACGCAGCTGCATCTTTTAATTCCAGACATTTTTCTCCCTGGTCTTTATTCCTGGCCCAGCCCTGACAACACAGCTCCACTTCTAGATCTGAAACTGCCCATGGGTGACACCCACTTAGATGTTCCTCCAAACTGACAACCTTGAAAACTAAACCAATGCATCAGAACAACTTCTCTCACTGACTCCCCCATGATCGTCTCCACTTTTCCAAGTTTCCATATTGGGATTCCTGGAAGTCACTCTGGTTCTTCCCATTCTCTACAGCCCTGCCTCCTTTCCCCACTGACTCAGTTGGCATCATCACATTCATACCCACTCACAAAAGTAAGAGAGGCCTGCCTTTGTCTCATGCGTGCCTCCTCCCTAGTGTGGAAATCTGGAGTCTATGCTCGGCTTGCAGCGGAGGTCGCCCTTCTGGGCCTCTGTTCCCTCATCTACAAAAACACAAGTTGAAACACCCCGTCCTTAAGATCTCTGCCATGTCAGCACCTTTCCTAATGCTACTGAGGATGCTTTCCTAATGCTACTCCATGCAGGCCATTGTCATTTCCTATGAACTTACCCTTAATAAAACTGATCCTCAAAAAGCAGTCGTTTGTGTTGCTGAAGTTGGGAAAATTGTCAGAAGATATAAAAAATAGTAATCAGAAGTAACAGTTTATTTTCTGTATACATTTTTTTTCATTTTTTTCCTGAGCGTTCGTACATACCAGACACGGTGCAAGGTGCTTACTATGTGTTCTCGTGTAGTTCTCATAACACTGTGTCGAGGTGGGCACCTCTACTCTCGCTTGGCACATGGAGAAGCTGCAGCAAAGGAGGGCTGACTCCTTCCCTGAGGGCACAGCCAGCAGGTGCAGCTGGGATCTGCACCTGGGACTGGCTGAGAAGTAATGCTCTGAACACGATGCAGTGGCCCCATTCCATGCCCCATCATCCCCAAACTAAGGCCGAACTGCCCAGGCAAGAGCTCCCCTTCGGGCAGCTAAGCCTTTCTCTATCCTCGGGCACTTCCCTGAGGAGCCTCTTCCCGGTTGGTTGCCACTTCCTACAGGAAGCACCGTCTCACGGTGGTGTCCCCACTGTTGGGCGCAGCTGCGGTGGCAGGCTGCACTGCAAACTATCATCCTGATGTTCTCTAGGCTGCACTTGGAACTGGATCATTTTATTAAAAACCTATGACCACAGTATTTTTTAATAAGTTCTAGGTCATGTTTTTGTTTTTTATTTTTTTTTTAAAGATTTTATTTGGCAGAGGGAATGGCAGGCAGAAGGAGAGGGAGAAACAGGCTCCCCATCAAGCAAGGAGCTGAATGTGGGGCTGGATCCCAGGACCCTGGGCAGATGCTCAGGCAGATGCTCAACCCACTGAGCCACTCAGGCACCCCTCTTTTTATTTTTTTAAAGAAAATGCACAAGAACAGGGTGGGAAGGGGAGAGGGAGAAAGAGTCTTAAGTAGACTCCACACCCAACACAGAGTCTGACATGAGGCTCGATCTCCCGACCCTGAGATCATGACCTGAGCCAAAATCAAGAGTCAGATGCTTAACCAACTGAGCCACCCAGGTGCCCGAAGTTTTAGGTATTTATATCTATTATTTTACAAAGAGGCTTTAGTCACATTTTGTAAAATGACAAAAACGAGATACTCAAGGAGGTGAAACTTTTTTTCCCAAATGCCATAGATACTGAAAGGTTCTAGGACTAATACTCAGTTGTCTGGATTGTGACTGAGGATCCTGTTAAACCTAGTTTTAATTCACTGACTCATAGCTAGTGTAAAGAGCAACTGGGATGAACTAATGCCATCAAGTCAGATGCCATCTAGCTTTATTTCCCAGTCTGATGTCCTGAATAAGGGATTTTCCTGCTTCATTTCCCCATTTCTGAAACCCACCATTGCATGCTCTTAACCATTATTCAAGTACCTTAACAAGTACATTCAGAAACTCCAGACTCCTATTCCATGTATGGAATATAAATTTAGCAAGGGGTAGACAGCAGAAAAAAGTTACCTTGTTTGTAACTAGGTTTAACAGACCAGATAAAGTTTGGGTCCTGAGAAAGAAAGAGCAATGTTGTAAATATTATCAAGGTTACACACTTGGTCCCATTTTGTGTCTCAAATTGTGAAATATCTTGTAGCCTGATATGTCGAGTGCTGATAATAGTACCGTTCACTTCTGACCATGATTACAAAAATCTCTTCAGTTAAACCACTCTCTAGCTGTTCACTTTGACTCTCCCTTTGATAAATAAAGCTTCTCACTGAATTAGCAAAATACAAAGGCAACTGATTTTATTTCATTCAATCAAAAATGGTTATTGATGCATGCAAGGTGCTATGTGGGAAGCAAAGTCATGGTCACTGCCTGGAGGGAGTTGGCAAATTAGTCCTTTCCCTGGCCTGGCTTCTGCAGAGTCCCAATGTGCTTTAGAACTACTACCCTACCACCGGCTGAGAACAAAACTAACCCCCGGAGAACAGAGCCAAGGTGAGCTTTACCATGAAGAAAACATAAACAGGCAGGTAAAAGTAGTACAAGGAAAAGCTTTCACATACTCACTGCCAAATGGAAATTACTTGTGGATTATCTACTATTTATTAACGCAAAAGTTTTGCGTCAGTTATATAAATGAGTGAATTAAAGTTAGCATATACTCTGATTTCACTGAAGGTAAAAAAAAAAAAAGTGGCGGGGGTAGGGTGGGGGTGGGGATAGACAGGACCCAATGAGAATATATATGTCATTTGAGTCAAAATGATAAAAATTTCAATACTGAAAAGTTGGGAGGTCCCTGAATGTATCATTAATTTGAATTCTGGGCTCTCTGGGCTTGGAGATTTTCTGAAGAAAAAGGATTTCCAGATAACTTGAATCTTTGATTCAAGGAGAATGCCTTTCCTACCCGAAAACGGAAGCCACAGATGTTTCTTTTCAAGAAATTGAAGAGCACTGCTACTTAGTTATGCAGAGAGGTTTTAGAAAGAGGAAGTCACACAGCCTATCCCTCTAAGGAGGAGAAGCCTCCAGACCCTCCACCTCGTGCCTGGATGCCCTTCTGACATTGGCAACTTAGAGCATTTGGGAATTTGGCTGTCTTGTTTCTGGTGACCTTGGCTATCGTTTTTGACATCTCAACCATTTTACGTTGAGAACAAGCCAGCTTCTGAAAATCCCATTGTTCTGTGACGTGGGAGGCTGCATGGGAAGGGGTGGGATGGGATGGT